TGCCACCCAGGTACCACGCGCATCAGCAGGAGCACAACTGGAATTACTAGGAAGAGAAGGTCTGAAGACTTGTGTCAGTGCGGACACGGCTGGAGACTTAGAGGACAGGCAATGCGTTGCTGCAGCCGTGTCTCTGTGGACATGTGTGTGGCTCTGCCTTTTCTGCCCACACTCGCCAGTCCTGCTGGTTCTGTGGCCTGGAGCAGGGCAGAACCCAGCCACGCCATCTGAGCCCTCATGGCCCACCCAGGTCCAGAGCGCAGGGGGGCCTGTGTGACACTGCCATGAGGACTGAGCAGGAAGGGCTACCTCCCGAGGGAAATGAACAAATATAATTACAAGCTATTCTTCTGAACCCAGGCAGGCACGGGACAGGGCACTCTACCGCCTAATGCTCCCAAAACGATAAAAGGAAGGAAGCTGCTGAAGCTGCTGATGGGAACCACTTAGGAGTTCCACCCTACGGAAGCAGCCTGTTAGCGAAGGGGAGGAGCATGTCTGGTTGCCAGAAGACAGTGTGGTCTAAGGTGGATGCTTTGCCCCTTTGAGTTCTGCTGTTGAATAAGGGGATCGGAGCAACCATTCGTCCATCCCTGACTGGCTATTTCATGGAAGGTCTGCCCTTTCCATGTCTATTTCAGGGCAATGAACGGAAGAGCAGAAAATCTGAGTCAAGCCCTAGGTGGTTTGGCTCAGTGGATAGAGCTTCGGCCTGCGGACTGAGGGGTCGTGTGGGCTCAATCCCCAGTAGAGGGCGTGCAGGAGGCAGCCAATCAATGATTCTTTCTCATCATTGATGTTTCTCTCTCCCTTCCTTTCTGAAATCAATAAGAATATATTAAAAAAAATCTAAGAGTCAATAAATGTGATTGATTCATCTTCTTACAGCCAGCCAAGGAGGGAGAATTCTGACTCATGAGCCTTGTTTAGCCTATATAATGAAGAGGTAATATGCAAATTAACCCTCATGCCCTCACAAGATGGCTGCCTAGGAGGCGGAGCTTTTGATGCTGACTGGCATAGAAACCGACCAATCAGAACCTAATCTGGGTGAACTGCGAAGGCAGAACCTAAGGTGGGGGCTGAGGAGGGCAACAGCTGTTTGGTGTAAGGTGTAGGAAAGCGGTTCAATTTTTTAATAACTGGTTTGGCAGTATAGTGCATATGGCTGGCTATCAGTCCAGATATAGGGATTATGCATTTTTGTCTGAAAGAGCATCTCCTCCTGCTGAAAAAGGCATTCCCCAACCCCAGTTTAGCAATCCTATCCTATATAATCTATCCATACTAATAAAAGGGTAATATGCTAATTAGACCTGGTCAACTGGCCACCTTCCAAACGTCCAACTTCCTTCCGGACAAAGCCATGGTGGTGGGGGCCGAGGCAGAGGCAGTTAGGGGTGATCAAGCCGGCAGGGGAGGGCAGTTGGGGCGAGATCAGGCCGGCAGGGGGTTAGGGGCAACCAGGCTGGCAGGAGAGAGCAGTTGGGGGTGAGAGAGACCTGCAGGGGAGGGCAGTTGGGGGCAAGATCAGGCCAGCAGGGGAGGGCAGTTAGGGGCGATCAGACAGGCAGGCAGAGGCAGTTAGGGACGATCAGGCAGGCAGGCAGGTGAGTGGTTACGAGCCAGCGGTCCCAGATTGCGAGAGGGAGTCATACATCCCCCAAGGGGTCCCCAATTGGAGAGGGTGCAGGCTGGGCTGAAGGAACCCCCCACCCCCATGCACAAAGTTCGTGCATCGTGCCACTAGTAAAATATGAAAATGATTTCTTTACCACCCCATCTCAAAGTGAATGAAAATGCTAAAAGTAAAAATTCTGGTGTTCTACATCCTCATCAGACAAAGGCAGACTCAACAAAGTTGTCCATAAACGAAGAACTGTGGATGGGAGCCTCTGCTGTCTCAGAATTTAGGAGGCGATGAACAATATCTCCTGCCAATCCCCGGTTGATGATCAGTGAGGGGTAATTGTTCGCAATGAGATTTCTTCCCGGGGCCTTTGCCTTTGTCTGTCCCTGGAATTCCAGCTGCAGCCATTTCACTCATCCCACCTATTTTCAGACCCTGGAGCCAGAGGATGGGGAAATACTCCGCCACCTCTGAGGCCCTCAGACACAAGTTGCTTTTTGTACAGTTTTACAATGAACTGGGAAATAAACCCAGGCTTCCTGACTTTGCAGCCAGTTTATCTCCAGCACCAAATGGCCAATTACTAAACATTCCCACAGGGATTTCTCATGGCAGGTGTATGAGAAGTGATAAGCCCGGGATGAAGCCAGAGCCAAATGAATGCTTCTGAGAGCAGCTGACATCCCTCCCCAGCGCCCAGGGGTGCGGAGGCCGGGGCAGGTCCTGGCCCGCCAACCGCAGCTGTGCCATCTGCACAGCTTATCTGTTTGTCAGTTTACTCACTTATAAAATGACCTAAAAAATACCCATCTTGCCCTGCCAGTGTGGCTCCGTGGTTGAGCGTCAACCTATGAACCAGGAGGTCATGTTTCAATTTCCAGTCAGGGCATATGCTCAGGTTGCAGGCTTGATCCCCAGTGGGGAGCGTGCAGGATGCAGTTAATCAATGATTCTCTCACATCAATGATGTTTCTACGTCTTTCTCCCTCTCCCTTCCTCTCTGAAATCAATAAAAACATTTTTAAAAAGCAAACTAAAAAAAATACCCATTTTACTCTTTAGTGGGACATTGTGAGGCTCAAGTAAGGAACAGCATACAATATGAATAAATTATAAAAATCAACAGACCTCAGATCAACTGTAAAAAGGCATTTGGGGGAACGTTTTGAATATGAACTGGGGATTAGATGATACCAAAGAATGATTGTTAATTTTCCTAGGTACAATAATGGCATAATGATTATTTAATATTTTTAGAGGTGCAACGACTGGATGTCTAGGAGTTGCTTTAAAATGTTTCAGTAAAAAAAGCAAGAGAAAAGAGATAAAGCAAGGGTGGCAACATGCTGCTAACTGTTGATGCTGAGGGCCTTTCTCTACTATGGTGCATATTTAAATTTTTTCAGGAAAATGCTTTTTAAGTAAACAAAGCAGAATTTTCTGGAACATTAGAAAGCTTCACTGATGGTCATCTCTAGAGCTCAGAAAACCTGTTTAGTTCACAAGGCCTCTCCACATTGGCCATCCAGTGGTCGGAGGACAGGGACTTGGGGCCAGGCAGGAAGGGGCCAGGCAAGGAGCCCAGATGTCAGGAGATCGAGGGAAGTGACTTCATGGAATTTTCTATCTGCCCTGCATCAAAATGCCAAGTGCATACTTGGTCTGCAGACCTGTTTCATTCAGCTTTCATTCACTTAAGGGCTAAGTGGCCTTAGACCAAGTCACTTTTTTTAACACAAAGTCACAGAGAGACAAACAGATGTTCTCTCTCTCTCTCTCTCTCTCTCTCTCTCTCTCTCTCACACACACACACACACACACACACACACATACACACACACACCACTGAGACTCAATCCTGAGGGGTCCACAGGGCGCATGGGTGCATTTTGTCATGGGTTTGATGGTCATTCCAGGGACATATACAAGGGACCAGGAAGGGGAACAGGACAAAGGGATGAAGGAGAGTAATAATTTAGATAAGGCACTGGCCAGTAAGTCAGTCATTCATCTGGGAACTGACCAGGCAAATGAAGTACACAACACACCATAAACAAACGAAATAATTCCGCCAAGAGTGACAGGTGGGCTTTGGGGTTCCCGGTCAGACAGGTGGGCTGTGGTGTAAGGGATATGAGTTCGAGTCCCACACTGACTAACCCAGTGGCCTTTCCTCTTCTGCAGAAAGAAACGACTGAGCTGATCTCCGCAGTTCCAGGATTTTAGATGTCGAAATTAACTTGGGGCACGTTTCGGACTTCAAAGCACATCTCTGAGGTTTCCAGCACAAGTAGTTCAGTCCCCCCCCACCCACCCCCCACCCCCGCCGTGCGCTGCACCGTGTCCCTCCCCCGACCCCGCTGGTACTTGGTGATGTTTACTGGGGTGGAGGGATGAGAGAGAGAAAAGAATCGCAATCACGCTTGTTTCTTCCGATCATTTCTCCTCCGGCGCTGATTTACAGCGACACTTCAGGCAGGCAGGGCTCCCAGATTTTTGAGGGGTTGGGGGCGGAGCGCAGTGGCCAAAAAGCCTGCGTAAAAGTTGCAGTCACCAAGGACCGCAGGAGTATCTCGCAAGACTAGGAATAGCTCTACCCCGGAGCGATCCTGCACACACGACCCATGGGTTTTTTGTGCTGGTTCTTTCCTGCTCCGGGGCCTCTCAGTCCAAACGGCGGGAGAGGCTCCCTGGTCCCCGGACGAGCCTAGGCGACTTGGGAGTACCTGGGGTGCGAACCGCGCCTCCATTCCCACAGGACTCAGGGTGCTCGGGCGCTCAGATGAGCCTAACTGGAAGGCTGAAGAGAAACCCAATTCCAGGCAGTGGGCGCTGGAGCTCCCCGGCTCAGGCCCAGTAGCCCGCCCACCCCCCACCCCGCTCAGCCCCGTGCGCCCCACATTTCCAAAGCCCCAACTCAGTGCGACGCCCATCCCCTGCGCGCTCCACGTCCCTCAAAGCCAGAACTCCGGGCACGAACGCAGCCCCCGTGTCCCTGGCCCCACGCGGCACCCTCCTAGGCACCTATCGCACATTGAGCTTCCACTGGCTCTGTCCTGCCTGGTGGCGGGCGCCCCAGGCGAGCTAGGAACCGAGCGCCCCACTTTCTAGGGCGCGCCAGCGGCTTCCCGGCCCGGCTCAGCGAGGTGGGGCTGGGTGGGTCCGCCCCAATAGAGAAGGGGACCCGCCAGCCTGCACGCCCCGCATCTCTCGGAGCAAGAAGCCTTCACTGTGTGTGCCGCCCCCCGGGTCTCCGGCACCCCTAACAGCGAAGAGACTGGCCTCCGGGGAGTGGAGCCTGAGGACTCGCGTGGGCGCTCCCCTCCCTCGAGCCACTGCGCTCCCGGGGAGTTGCAGGGAGCGCGCTTACTTGGTAGGAGGGGTCCGCCCTGGCTTGGCTGGGGCCACGTTTCCCTCCGTGGCCCCGCGTCTGCACCCGCGTCGCCGCCGAGCCCCTTCCCCGAGCAGAGGGGCGGCTGGAGAGAGCGAGCTCCAAGTGCCGGGAGCCGCGAGCTGGAGTAGCGCCTTCGCTCTTTTCCCGGGACTTTTAAGGGGCTAGAGCAGCAAACCCCTCCCCGGGCCCACCCCTTCCGAGGGCGGCCACCGCAGGGCCCGCCCCGGCTCCTTTTGTTGTAATTGGAGAGCGGTCTCCCCCAGCCCAGTGCGGGCGACCGCGCGCCGGGCGCAGCCGCCTCCAGGCTCTTCACGCCCGGCTTTCCGAAGCCTGGGAAGCGGGGAGGGGGTTTTCCTCCGGAAGATTCCTCTACTCCCCACCCCCTCCACGCGCCTGGAATTTAACCCCTTGACGTCCTTCTCTTCCTGCATTAGGGTCCGAGGCTAATCCAGCTCCCGGTCCAGAGAGCAGCACTGCCTGGCGCGTAGTAGACGCTCAATAAAAACGGATAAAGGAAGGAGTTCAGAAACTGTCATCCATCTCTCCTGGGTTTCTCCTGGATGGGAAAGCAGATTCCAACGTGAAACCAGCCGCCCCTTTCTCCCAGCAGATCACCCCTCTGGCTTCCACAAACCTCTCTGCCCTGAGGATCCGTTCTCTCCTTTGTGCATTCAAGGCTTCGGACTCAGTGACCTCTAACATCCCACCCCCTCCCTCCTCCTCCTCCCCCCTCCCCCCTGCAAGGCAGGGCCAGGATTAACAACCCTGCACTCAGGGACTGAACAGGACCCAGCTAAGGGGGTGTATGTTGTGCAGAGGACATTCCAGGCCCGGCTTTGCGGCTCACACTAGGAGCAGAGAGGTGGTCATGGTGGGGGTGGGGGGTGGGGAGTCCTCTGTGCAGAATCCCAGGGCTTCTTAAACAAGGGCCAGGCTTCACCAGGCGTGAAGCAGATAGCTTTATGTTCGTTTTTTATTTAGATCTCATGCAGCCCCCGTGGGGCAAGAAGAGACTTCAGTCAGGGAGGGGAGCATCCACCAGAATAAGGAACGGCACAGCGAGCCTGGGCGCAGTGGAGCCAGAGAGGTGGGAGGCCAGGAACCTGGCCGGGCTCCCTCCCACCTCCAGCACAGGCACAGGCACTGCCCTGACAGGCAAGGCCGGCAGTGGCCCCTCTCAGTTGGGAGGCGGGAAGCGGCCCCTGCGACAGAGGTTGCTGGCTTTCTGGCTCCAGCTCCTGGGCATGGCTGGTGGCCACTGGTTCAGCCCCTGCCGCCGGTGCTGGGGGCCATCTTCAGACGGAGCTCAGGACACTGGCCACCGCCTCCACTGGGCCCAAGGCGGCTGGAGAATACGGGGGCAAGGGAGAGGAACTGGAGTCTGAGACCTCCCTCCCTCCCCACAGGGCGTGGCTTGGGGGAGGAACAGTAGCCCCTTCTGGCTCCAGACCTGCCCACAGTCACGGCCACTGGAGGTGGAGGTTGTTTGGGGAAGCCGATAGCTTTAAAGCAAGGCGCCAGGCTGTGAGCCTCTGTGCAGAGGGAACCCAAAGTGGACTGACCACAGACGCTGTCTGTATCCTCCCCGGCTCCTTCCCCGGCCCTCCCCTCACTCCCTCCCTCCGTAGCACACCTAGGGCACCAGAGGTGACAGGTGGTGACTTCCACCACAGCCTCAGCTCAGACTTCTCCCCTCAGCTTAGATCTGTAAATCCACTGGAATCCCCTTGGCCCTCTGGACATGCCCCTGGCCACAGCTAACCTAGCAAGCCCCAAACTTGGCACCCCAACTCGCCGCCCACCCCAACCACGGTGAACTCTGCCTGGCAGCAATGGCGTCTTCTCAGGCCCCTCCTCCTTTATCCTGGTCTAGTGGGCAGTGGGAGGAGGAGGGAGGCTGGTGTGATTGATTATAAAAGTTTCTGTGGTTGGAACTGTTAGATACCCTGACAGCGGTGGTGGATATAAGAACCTACACAGGTGAGAAAGTTATGTAGAATGTAATACACACACATGCGCATTTCAGACACAACTGGGGAAATCTGAGGCAGATCAGTGGATTGCACCCATGTCAATCTTATAATGTCACCACGGGGGGAGGTGACATTATAAAGTCACAAAGTGACAAAGTATATGAGCGTTTCTCTGTATTGTTTCTTAGAACTTCATGTACATCTACAATTATCTCAATAAAATTTCAACTGAAAAAAGAAAGAAAGAAAAGCAACCACAGTAGCTCCAGGACCCACAGAATGTAATCGGAACCCTTTAAGACCTCTGGTATTCCTCTCCAGCCTGCTCATCTCTCAGCCACATTCTCTCCTCTCCCCTATAGGCCCTATTGGCTGTTCTCTAAGCCTGCTGTTTCATACCCCAGGGCCTTTGCACATGCCATGCTCTTGCCTTGTCTGCCCAGCAATGCCTAGTTCTATGAGACCTTTCTCAGCTGTCAGTCAGAACCTTCCACAGAGTCTGCACGTAGCAAATGTTCAATAAATGCCAGTGGGACCGAGCTTTTCCTCTCCCCTCACCCTTTTCTCTGATCCCTCCACTTCTAGTCCTATCTCTCCTGCTAAAGTGTTCATCAAAAAGGCATAAAATGAAAGGGAACTGCCGAAACCAGTTTGGCTCAGTGGATAGAGCGTCGGCCTGTGGACTGAAAGGTCCCAGGTTCGATTCCGGTCAAGGGCATGTACCTGGGTTGCGGGCATATCCCCAGTAGGAGATGTGCAGGAGGCAGCTGATCGATGTTTCTCTCTCATTGATGTTTCTAACTCTCTATCTCTCTCCCTTCCTCTCTGTAAAATATCAATAAAATATATTTAAAAAAAAAAAAGAAAGAAAGGGAACTAACTTTGTAAGAAATGTTTTGTCTCATTCTGAACACAGCAAACTCCTTGCGGAACATTCAGAAGATGTGGAGGAAAAGTGGAGAAGCCTGCCACCCCGGCGCCCTTCCACCCACAAATGAGCACCTAACATTTGGAGTATTTCCTTCAGGATATATATATATATATATATTTTTTTTCAGGATATATTTTTTTAAACCAAAGTAAATACCGTTCTTGTGCCCAGCTTTTTATTTTATTTTTTTTTAAATATATTTTATTGATTTTTTACAGAAAGGAAGGGAGAGGGATAGAGAGTTAGAAACATTGATGAGAGAGACACATTGATCAGCTGCCTCCTACACACCTCCTACTGGGGATGTGCCCACAACCAAGGTACATGCCCTTGGCCGGAATCGAACCTGGGACCTTTCAGTCCGTAGGCCGACTCTCTATCCACTGAGCCGAACTGGTTAGGGTGTGCCCAGCTTTTTAAACTTTTAACTATTTTATCTTGTATGCAGTTTTCAATCTGCTTTTGATAGTGTTAGACTGTTCCGGGGTCTAAAACTGCCATGTTCTATGGCAGCGGTTCTTAACCTGTGGGTCGTGACCCCTTGGGGGTCGAACGACCCTTTCAGAGGGGTCGCCTAAGACCATCGGAAAACACATATATAATTACATATTGTTTTTGTGATGAATCACTATGCTTTAATTATGATCAATTTGTAACAATGAAATTGGGGATCACCACACCATGAGGAACTGTATTAAAGGGTCGCGGCATTAGGAAGGTTGAGAACCACTCTTCTATGGCAGCATTTCCCTGTTGCTAGACGTCAAGTTGTGTACAACTTTCTACTAGCATAAATTACACCATGGCCATTATCCCTGGGAAAGGAATAGTTACTGCGCAGCTATTACATGGTTTCTACTAATTGCTCCAGACCAGAAAGCCAAGCCTCGGAGACACCCGGTCATTTCCCCAGAGCCACAAAGCTGGCAAGCGGTCAAGCGGGGGCAACTGAAGGTGCCTGACCCCTCCGTCCAGTCCGTAGTGGCCGCACACCGGAGGCCTCAGGCAGTCCACCTGTGCCTTACTGCCCCCTCCAAGGACAGCGAGCTCGGGGACTTCATTGGCGCGCTGTGGTTGAATTGAATCGAAGGCCTGGGAGACCCTTTGCAGAGGGCAGCAGGCCTCTGCTCGAGAGGAGATAGAGTCATGATCGCATGCTCACGGCTGTAGGTCCGTCTGTGCCATCCCCCATCTCCCAGGCCCTGTGCTGCTGCAGAGGCAGAACCACACCGTGGATTCAGAGCCGTCGGGGGATCTGGGTTCAAATCCCAACTCCCCCTGGACGAGGGCGTGGCGCTGTGTGAGCCAGAGCGGGAGGGAAGCAGCACCCTCCTGCCCGCCCCGCGCCCCCTTCAAGGGCAGCAGGAATGACTTTCTGAGGACACAGTCCAGGATGTGAGACTGACTGCCGTGTCCATCACAACCACTACTGGGTGAGGACACTACGGGAGTGGCTGGGAGCAAGTCCCACTTTCTCCTGGGAGGCAGCGCCCCCTCGTGGTCCACGTCTCATACCGCAGTGTGCGTTTGCAGTTTTCAGGGCCAAATTAGAAAACTAACCGGCTTTAGAGAACATCCTGTCCAAGCATCTTGTTTAGACCTGGAACCAGAAACCCGGAAAGCTGCTGACTGGCCGCGGCCCCCGGGCAGAGCAGCAGCCGTGCTGCACCAGATGCAGATGCAGGTGTCTGACCCCTGGGAGCCTCCCCCGTCTGCTCAGAGCACCGCACCTGTGCGCCCTCAGGGGCGGCGAGGATGCCTTTGCCTCTTCTGCAGGAAGCGCATGTGTGTGTGTTTCTAAAGTATCATTTCATTCGTGTAACCTGTTTTCTAGGATGTGGTCCTCCTTTGTTGCGCACTTTGGGCGGAGCTTCCCCCATTTCTTTCCTTTTCCTTATTCATTCACCCACTAAAGAATATCTTGGTTGCTTCCAAGTTTTGGCCATTAGGAATAAAGCTGCTATAAATATCTGTGCGCAGGTTTTTGTGTGAACATAAATTTTCAACTCATTTGGCTAAGTACCAGATTGTGCAATTGTTGGATTATGTGGTAAGGGTATGTTTAGTTTAAATGATATATACACACAATGGAATAGTACACAGCCTTGAAAAGGACAGGAAATTCTGAACGATGCTACAGCATGGATGAAACAAAGATATTATGCTAACTGAAATAAGCCAGTCACAAAAAGACAAACACTATATGATTCACTTATATGAGGTACTTA